TATATATATATATATATATATATATATATATATCTTTTTTTTTGAACTATTCCACTTACTCTCTTTATTATTATCTTTTTTTTCTTTTTTTAATGTTTCTATGTTTTTCTTTATTTCTTTCTTTTTTTGTGCGCTGGTTTCTCCCCTCGGCAGTTCTCTGCGAGTGAGTGAGTGAACAGGGATCTGTTGAGCCTCTCTATTTGGCTAAGGAGAGACAAGTATGGAAGAAATTAGAGAAATACAATGGAATCATATATATATATATAAAAGAAAAAAAAAAAGTGTCTACGGAGGAAAATATGAGATAATGAAAAAGAAGAAAAGAAAAAAGAAATAATAATAGTAAGTGGATTATTATTATTATTAAGAAAAAAGAAAGATGGCTATAGGAAAGTAAAAGAAAGAGAGTAAGAAGGAGAGAAAAAATAGGAATGTTTTTTTGAAGTTTGAAGGAAGTGTCGATTGTCGAATGATATGAGGGTAAATAATGGAAAGAATGAGATAATGTCTGAGCAACAGGATATTTGACTCGTTTCTTTCTTATGGTTTTCTTCTCTTTTTTTTGTTTCTTTTTTCTCTTCGCCCCTTTTCTGTATTTGCTGAATGTCAATAAGTCCTACACTGGGGGCCTTGGACTAGGCGTAATACATATATACACATTCACACCTTCTGTATACACACATTCACACCTTTTATATACACATTCACACTTTGCATATATACACATTCACAATTTGTATATATACACATATTCACACATACACACTCTGTACAATATATATATATATATATATATATATGTATATATATATGTATATAGTACTTAAAAAAGGAGATATTTATGTAAAGAGAACATGATGTGTTTATATATATGTATATTTTTTTCGTTTCTCATAGGGCCGGAGTGTTTTGGGTTGTGTGAGGGACTGCGTGCATTGAACGATGTGTAATTTCCGTGATTTCCCTTTTTCTTTTTCTTTTTCTTTTTCTCCATGTATTTATGTATATACCGTGTATACTGTATGTATATACTCGTATGTGAGTGTATATGTGTCTGTATATGTCTGTGTTTGCGTTGATACCATTGGTATGAGTGATTGATATTGTGTGTGTGTGTGTGTAGGGCAGTAAAAGGTGGAGATGTGTGAAAGAAAAGAGAAATAAAAATAAAGTGAAGGAGTGACATTTAAGGATTGATGTTCCTCAATGGTATTTGTTTTAATGCTTTTTTTTTTTTTTATCCATTTTGTTAATTATGCGGCTCCTTTTTTTTTTCCTTTTTTTTTCTTTGAGAGGAAAACCCTGGGTGAGGGAGAGAGAGAAATAAAAAAATATAAAATAAAATATATAATATGTATATAAATGCCTTTATTATTATTATTATTGTTACTATTACCTTTTTTTTCCCTATTTTACCTTATATCCGTCTCTGCTTTTTCATTTCTATGTTCATACAATGTCATCATTACACCATTTTTTTTTTTCTTTTCTTTATTTTCGTTCACGGCTACCAGCCACGAGGAACCTTTTATACTAGCGGACCGCTGCTGTAGAAATTAACTAAAAATGAAAAGAAAAGAAAAAAAAAAAAAAAACGAAAACGGGAAGTATGAAAGGAAGACAGTTCATGAGGGGAAAAAGAAAAGTATTTATTTTCGACAATAATGAACACAGAAAGGCAACTGAGATTAGTTTTACGGTAAATTTATCACCCTCCCCCCCCCTTCTTTAGGATGAAAGCGCATATTTAATAGTTTAAAAAGAAGAAGAAAATAATAATAATAATAATAATAATAATAAAATAATTCCTCTTTTTCCTCTTCACTCACTCACTCTATTTTTGAAGGCGAAAGAAAAAAAAAAAATTGGGAATAAAAAGAAAAAAAAAAAACGGGTTGGGAGGGGATCGTCTAACTGAAAGGTTAGGCTCTCCCCCGTAGAAAAACGAAAGAAAAAAAAAAGGTAAACGGGGTAATCTGATAATTGCTATTGCAACTATACTCTTTCCCCGGTTACTGTATTTCACTTTTCTCATAATATATTTATGATTCCATTCTTTTTTTTTTCTTTTTTTTTTGGTTATCGCATGCATACCTTGCTTGCCGACTCACACATTAAAAAGACCTTTTAATTCTTTTTTTCTTCCCCAAAGGGTGAAAAACACTTAACCAATAAGAAAACAAACAAAAAAAAAGTGTCTTGATTGTGAGTGGGTGTGTTCTTTTGCAATAGACTGCATAAGTACACCTATGAGTACGCCTATTTGTATCTACAAATGTTTGCACCTCAAATGGTACGGAATGGTTGCATGGCATTTTCACATCTTTTCCTCCTCTTTTTTTTTTTTTTTTTCTGTTGACCTTTCTTTTCTTTTCTTTGTTGTTGTATGTATGTTTACTATCTTGCTCTGTATGGAGACGACGGAGTTTTTTTCTTTCTTTTTTCTTCTTGGTTCCATCGATTGTTATACATGCACAGAGTTTTATCTTCTTTATCTTCCTCTTTTTTTTCTTCCTTTTGTTTTAAGAGAGAAAGAGAGAGAAAGAGAGAGAGAGAGAGAGAGAGAGAGAGAGAGAGAGAGAGAGACAGTAAGAATGAGGATAAGATCTGGCCTGTGACATTAGGGAGAAAGTGAAAGTAATGGTTTCAAGAGAAAAGGGGGAAAAAATATTGATCTTCTGGTTATGAAAGGGGTTTTGTGTGGACATACAAGAAAACACTGGGAGAAATGGTGGTAAAGTGAGACTAAAGGGCAAAAAAAAAATAAAAAATAAAAAAAATAATGGGGGATTTAAATAAAAATAAAAAAATTTTTTTTTTACTATATAATTTTTTTTTTATTTTCTTTATTTTCTCTAGTTGAGTACCTTCTCTTATAATTTCTACTTATTCTGTTGAAATTTATCGATCTCTTTGCGCATATATGCTTGAAGGACCCTTCTCTATCCCCTTTATTTTGCCATTTATTTATTTTCTCCTTTTTTTTTTTTTCTTGCCTTCCTTCCTTCTACACGCACTATTACTCTTCTTGCGGCATAACTCTTGTGGACATCTCAGAGCAAAAGTGCAAGTGAGAGCTAAGCGATCACACATCTTTAAAGAAGCGAACAAAACAAGGTGAAAAAAAAAAACAAAAAAAAAAACAAAATTATTATTCTTACTGTTATTGTTACTGGGGACAGTATCAACATCAATAAGGAAAGCTAAAGGAAAGAAAGAACAAAAAAAGAAGAAAGAAAGAGAGAATAAAAGGAATACAGTGACATTGGAAGAGCAAAACACCGAAAAGCACAAATACCAGAGTATATATATAATTTACAATGAGTGCAAAAGTCCAGACACCAATGCAAAATGAGTACCCTGTGGAGGTAGACCAACCCGTGAAGGCGGATGTTGCTGCTCCTGCTGCCGATGAGGCTGCCGTCGCTGCTCCTGCCGCTGCTGAGGCCGTTGAGGCGGCTCCTGCTGCCCCTGAAGAGGCTCCAGAGTACCCTGTGGAGCCCAAGGCTGAGAGTCCTGTTGATACCAGGACCAAGTCTCAGACGTCTGTTGAGGGCAGGAACAAGTCTGCGAGTGGATCACTCCGCGAGCGTGACCCCGTGGATGGCGCTAATGATGCGGAAGAGCGTCTTGCCCTTGCCCGAGCGAAGGCTGCAGCTGCGAAGAGCGCTGTGGCGGACCGTCGTGCCTCGAATAGGTCCGTTGATGCTGACTCCATTCGCAGCGAGGGCGGCGCGAGTGGAGCACACGGTCGCGCGCGTCGTTCCTCGAGTGGGGCGCGCCGTGGGTCTATCCGAAGCGTGTTTGACTCCGTGGACGAGGCGGAGGAGGCGCTGCGGGCGATGGACGAGCGGGAGCGGGAGATGGACGAGCGGCTGCAGGTGTACAGCGAGGTGGTGGGGCTGCGCAAGGAGCTGCGGGTCGTGCGGGACGACGCCAACCGCACGCGGGCGCAGCTGCAGCTCCTCTCACACGCCAGCAATCAAGACGTCCCGTCGGCGGCGGATCTCGCGGCCGCGGAGGAGGCGGCCGGCCGGTCGTCGGTCCAACATCAATGGACGGCCGCCTGCCGCCGCTTCCCGTGCGCCCCAGACGACGTCACCTCGTGGGCAAAGGTGCGGGTGGACGACTTGGTGCAACGCCTCGCCGCCGCGGAGGCGAAGTTCTACAAGGGAGAAGACGCCGCCGTGAAGCTGCTCTCCACACAGGAGGCAACTATTAACGCCAACACAGACGCCAGAGACCGCGCAAAGGCAGAATTGAACGCCAGCGTCGAGGAAGAAATGATGAAGCTCGCAGAGACACGAGACAGGCTCAGACAGGTGGAGCGCGAACAGTGGTTCCACATCAAGCGTGGAACGCATGTCAAGCAAAGACAGACACCAGCACGTGCAAGGAAGGAGGCCACACAACACCGCGCCTACCAGAGTGAGACCAAGGAGGTCGGAGATGTCGTCCAGCTCGTCAATGAACGCACCGAGCTTACAGAGCAGGTGCGCCAATTCCGTCGCGCCCTCGAGGACAACAAGCACAGCTACATGGAGGAACAGAAACAACTGGAGCAACAGCTTGAGGCAGCCGAAGAAAATGGTAAGGACGCACGTGAATTGCGGGAGCGCTTCGAGAAGGAGAATGAGGATCTCCGCAATATCAAGCAAGATCTCCAGCGTGTGCTGCAGTACGTCCGCGTACGCAACCGTGAAGGAATGGAGTAAGTATATATATATATATATATA